ACCGCCACCACCACCACCGCAACCACCGCCGCCGCCGCCACCACCACCACCACCACCACACCCACCATCACGACTACTACGACGACGTGCTACATTCTCAGCTGCTCCTGCTTCTGCTTCTGCTCCGCTCCTGCTGCTGCGCCAACAACTACTGCTACTACTGTCTGACAAGATAAAGTCTATCGAAAGTCAATAGCCAGAAAAGACGAAGAAACAAAATCAACGTGTCAAGAAAATGACAATGACAGCAACTGCAGCAATGCCAGTTCAACAACACGAGTAACACCAACAAGAAGAGCAATAATCATAACTAGCACGACCGTCATCAGAAGCAGCATCGTCATCAGACTACTGACGGAACACCCCTAAACCGGAAACAAAACAAAAGCCCCTCCAAAAACAAGAACTAACCGTCGCGCCCTCAACCCACAACCCTAAACTTCCCCACTGTAAATCCTAAGAGCCTATAGATGCTAGTAAGCCCCTGTAAAGGCCCTAGTAAACCCCTCCCGAAGCACGAACCTTCGCGCGCTGAGCGGGGTTGCCTGGCTGCTGCACTCCGGAAGCGCAGCAGCCCATTGCTGACCTCAGAAGCGATACCGATGTATCTTATTACACCTATTATTGTTGGCTTTATTGCTACTATCATTATTGCTATTATTGTTGCTTGGGTGCTGGGCTTCTTTTTGCAATAGGGGCTTCCGTCGCTCTATACGTGAGAGCTTGGGCTTGATGGCTTTAGGCTTTGGTTCCAGGGCTCAGCAAACGAGCACGAACTGATAATCGTCTGGTTGTTTCTGCTTGGCACTGAGGGCTCAGTTCAAGTTTAGGGTTTAGGGTTTAGGGTTTAGGGTTTTTCAACACGAAGCCGTCAGCACGGCGTAGCAGCTTTCTCTCGGAAGCTGTCCCGGATGCAGCCGAGAGACTACCCCAGAGGCCTGGCCCTAAAATGCCGGAAAATAAGCCAAGGCTACGCTGCCTGAGCCGAGGCCAAATTCCACGGATCTGTGCCTTGCACTTCGCTTCGACAGCCAGCTCTGCAAAACCTAAACCCTAAACCCTAAACCCTAAACCCTAAACCCTAAACCAAAAACCCTAAACCCTAAACCCTAAACCAAAAACCCTACAACCTAAACCCTAAAACCTAAACCCTAAACCCTAAACCCTAAACCACCTGAAACAGGCCCTCAAAGTAACATTGCTCCCGCCTTGGTGGGTCGAACCTCGTTGGTCAAGCCTCGAACCGACCCCTAAGAAGGGCCCTTAGGGTTTAGGGTTCAGGGTTCAGGATTTAGGGTTCTAGGGCCCCTTAAGGGTACATATAGGGTATACAGTAGGTAGGTAAAAAAGCTCCCGAATCTCGAAAATGTTAGAAGTCGTGCGGCGCCGGTTCGAGATGTGGCGGTTTATAATAAGACCTTACGCCTGCTTAAGCCTCAGTGTCCTCCACTTCAGCACAACCGCACCTAAATACTTTCAAACCCGGGCCTTAATAATTAGAATTAGAATAGGGTTTTGCG